CGCCAAGCCTATTCCCACGTGCATTGCCAGATCCCAGGAGCGCACAAGGAGCAGTGGGGGGTCGGGAAAGAGCGGCGAAGCTTCCTGGAAAGCGGTAACTCTGAACCAGTTCGTTTGCAGCCTGCAGGGCCATGGCTCGCACTCTCGCTGCTGCCCCAGCTGCCACGTCAGCAGCTTCAGCTGCTGATGACACGTGGCCAATCAGAGCACAGCTGGCCCGACCACCAGCGCTGCCGCTGCTGCTGCTGCCGTTTCTTGTCACACTGCTGTCAGCACCCCATGCCTCTGCTCCCCATGCTGGAGCCTTTGCTGCCACTCCCTTCTCCCCCTCGTCCTCCTCTTCATCGTCTTCCTCTGTTGACACGTCCTCTGCAGTCCAGCAATCCGCTCCACCAGACCTTGCAAGAGACTCTAGAGAATTTTGAAATCTCTCAAGAACCAGTCCACTAGGTCCGGTGCTGCAGCAATCTCCACTCATTCCCCATGGGAGGTCAAACCCCTGTTGCTTGGCATCAAAATCATCACCATCATCGGAAGAAGCAGCAGCAGCATCGCCATCGCCATCATCATCACCACCCTCTGCTAGCAGGGGGGAAGAAGGACAGCCGTGCCTCAGCTGCTGCCCCTCTTCCCTCCAGAGATTCACCTCTGTTGCTTCCAGCACTTCTCTTGGCAGCGATATGGACTTGCCAAAAGCACCGTCAGGGCGTCTTGCATCCGTGCTGGTGGTCTGATCCGTCCTTTCCTGGAGACTGCTGCAGGCGGATGCAGTACGGTGGGACGCGGTATGGTGGTATGCGGTACGGTGGGATGCAGTGCAGTGGGACGTGGTGCGGTTGGAGGCGGTACAAGGACGCGGCACACGCTGCACGTGGTAGTTACCACTGGGGCACACCACATGGTACGTGCTTCCCAGTCGCAGCACCTCCTCAGGTTGAAGTGTGCCACAACACGATGTGACTGAAAGGAGGGCTGTGCCAGGGGGAAACCCCTGCAGTAGTGCTCCCGCAGTGACTGGTTCGGTGAGAATGTGGGCCCCACCGTCCGGGAGGAGTAGGATGATTGTGGCTGGTGAGAATGGCTCTGGCTCTTGGGACTCTGCTGAAACGGGCGGTGAATCTTGAGGAGTTGTTGGGGAGAATTGTGATTTTTGAGACGCGGAGGGAAAGAGCTGAGGGGGGGAGAAGTTACGTGGGGAGAGTAATCGAGAGACGAAGCCACCTGCGCGACCGGAGGTTAGAATTGATAGCCGCCGACCAAAAGGACTGCTCCTGCTGCTGCTGCTGCTGCTGCTGCTGCTGCTGCTGCTGCTGCTGCTGCTAACACTGCTGCTGCCGGAGGTGCTGATGCCAATGCTGCCACTGGTGCTGCTGCTGCCGCTGCCACTGCTTCTACTGCCGCTCCCCAAGCCATCACATTGAGAGTTCGTGTATGTGGAGTTGGCAGCAACAGCAGCAGCACAAACAGCATTGGCAGCAGCACCAGCAGCAGCATAAAAAACGGCCCCAGCAGAGGCACCAGCACCAGTAGTGGCAGAAGCAGTAGCAGGTGCAGTGGGTAGAAACGAGCGGCAGCAGCTCACTGCAGCACCTGCGAGCGGCGAATCATCTTCACCGTTGGAACTTTCCCACGTGGCAGGATCACAAATCTGCTTAGTGGACCGTGAGACTGGGACTGAGAGCGGCAGGTCCTCAGCACAAACCACCTGAGAAATCTCCTGGACAAGTCGGCTCATTTTCTCCTGACGCGAATTGAGAATATTTGCGTGATACCACAGAAGGCTGCAAGCTTCAGACTTGAGATTTGAAGCTTGGGGTTTGAGGCTTGAAGGTTGAAGCCTGTGCCTTGAATCTTGATGCTTGGGACTTGAGACTTGAAGCAGGTTAGCAGCACGGTTGGGATGGGTGTGTGAGGACGCGTGGAAGGTGGGGATAACGGGTACGACCTTACAGTGGAATCCGAGACAGCAAGTTCAGGATTCAGAACCTGCGAAACGTTTTTCTGTAGGAAATTTCGTGCTTTTAAAATCGTCCTCCGTAGGTTCGCCGCGTTTTCACAACCAAAACGGAGTGGATGCAAGAGGAGGGTGAGGAGGTTGCGGGAGAGCAGACCGTGTTATAGTAAAGAGAATGTGAGGGCCTCCTTCTGAGAAGCAAAACGACGTGTTGGTGCTGGCAGCGCGAGAACGTCCTTGCAGACAAAAAGCCGAGGAACGGATTAATAAGCAAAGCGAGCGCGATGTGCTTATTTCTGAAAAGGCACGTGGTGGATACGCCGCGAAGACACGTGAGCGTCACTCTTGCCTCGTGCGTATATGCTATCACCCTAACGCCAATTTCAGACGCTGAAGTGTCTGTTAGGTGACAGCACAGTATTCGTACCAAGGCTGCACCTCCGAGCCTGTTACTACCGAGCCTGCTACCGAGCCTGCTGCTAACCGAGGCTACTACCGAGGCTGCACCGAAGGCACTACGGTACGCCCTACTAGCCCGAAGAAGTTCGCATCCGACCTTACTAAGGTGCGAGCGGAGGCACGGTTGGTATGCCTTTTTTCCACCGTCGGATCAATCCGACGAAGCACAAACGCTTCGAGGAAGGTGGAAAATACGGGAGTCCCCAAGGGATCTCTCAGACGGCCCGACAATAGGCGAGGGTTCTGAGAAGAACGAACAAAAGGAATCTGATCCGAAGATGCAAGGGTACGCAAGTCTTTGACTCTTTTCAGTCGAGTCGAGCAAGGAGTTATCCAGCTTGAACTCAGCAAGAGCATGTGCCATCGACTTAGGGTTTGCCGAATTGGAGGTAAGGCCGCGTCTCTCGACTCCAACTGGGCTCGTCTAGTTGGTATGTCTTGTGAGTCCATGGTGAAAGAGGTCCTACTGAGCGGGTGTAGTGGTAACCGTAACCGACAAGTGAGCGCGAGACCGCTTCATCCGTCTCTGCTCTGGCTTCGCCAGGTGTCATCTGAGAGGACTCAAAGGACAGCTCACTATTCGTTCCTATGTCCAGCGGCTCATCTACGCTTCGCGACGCGCGCCGATACTCGCGAAGGAGGAAACCCGTGGCCTGTTTCTGCTCGGGTGACTTCGCTGCGTGTGACGGAAAAGGCTGGACTTCACCTCGGTTTCCTCGTAGGACGGTGCTTTGTGCTGACCAGCTATGGCTGACAGACTTGAATCACCTGAGGATTGGATGGACTGGCGTTGAAATTCCAGTTAGGAGGTAACAAGGCGATGCGGAATGTGTCCGACAATGATGGAACAAAAACACCTAGAGTATCTGTCTAACCTAGCATTATGCTTATCTGACCGTACCGTATACCCCAGTTTCAGAAAGTCGGTCACGGGTGGCGAGTGTGTGTTACCCTGTATTCGCTGACTTGGAGGTGACAGCGAGAACCGCCAGTGTTATGAATGAACTTGCAGAGTGCGCAGAATATCGAATAACGAGAATGAACTGATTACTGAATGAAGAAACAATGAAGTAGCGAGGCCTAAATAGGGGAAACCTAGCTAGGCGGGGGGTTCGATATAGGATGGCTCGGTGATGGTTGCGATTGGAGCGGAGGCCGACTCGGGAGTGGTTCGGTGCGACGAAATAGGAAGGTCAGGTTCGTCGCGTGACCCTCGGGATGACCTCGCTAACTAGTGCCTCAGTAAGGATTCGTAAATCCTTACAGCCAGCATTGCAGCAGTTCCCTTTGCCTTGGTGGATTGGCAACGCCAACTTTCGCCGATCTGTTTGGGAAATGTCCACCCACAGCGCGCCAGCATAGCAAACTCTCGCAAAGATAATTGCCAGCCCACATCGCTGATCAGCTGCTGCTGAACCCGTGCCGTGCGACAGACCCCTTTTCCACCCAAACAGTCGGACCTTCAACGAATTGCCAACCTCGATAAGAGATAACTCCTTACAGCTCTAAACTAGAAAGCACCCAGAGCAACAACGAAATGTCTCAGAATGTGTAAAATTGTTGTCATTTCTGAGAAGGTGCTTTTATGCTTCAAACGGAATGGGAAACGAAAGGAGGATGACGAGTTAAATCACGCGCAGTACAATGGTAACGAACACTAAACCGTCATACAATATTAGAGATAATAGGAGTTTCTCGTATTGAAGAACGAAATTATGCATGGGTAATTACAAGCGAAAGGTGCCTGGGTGGGTGACGCAGCTAGCGTGTGGCTCTGGGCTTGCAGAGAAACTGGTGAGGCATGGCACAGGGGAGTGAGGAGGATGAGGAGAGTGAGGAGCATGAGGGATTGAGGAGCATGAGGTGAGCGGGGAGGATGAGGGGAGTGAGGAGGATGAAGGGAATGGGGAGGATGACGGAGTGAGGAGGATGAAGGTGCAACCGCAGCAGCAGCAACATGTATGGCAGCAGAAACGCCAATGCTAACGCATCACCTCTCCTCTCAAACCATTCCATCCCATATCCCTTGTGCTGTGCCTTTCTTTACTCCTGTCCCACATGCTCGATCAACTGGCTCAGCTCACCTGGTTGGTTAAGCCGTCCCAAGCGCATTCCCGGGCACGACTTTCGGAACGACTTTCTAAATGACATAATCAAAATCTATAGTTTTGCTTAGCCGGCTCACCTGGTTGGTAAATCCATCTTGTGTGCACTCCTTTGCACGGGCGGCAGTCTCAGCCACAAGAGTGCAACGCTCGTGGTCGTCAGGTTGAAGGTCGTTCTCCTTGTCCTTGGGCGGGCGGCAGGTTACGCCCTTGCCATTCCTTATTCCTGCCCCACCTGCTCTCTCCAAAGTCTCAACGCACCTGATTAGTGATCTTGGGCGCACTCGCAGGCGCAGGAGGCAGTTTCCGCAACAAGCGTGCAGCGCTCGCGGTCGTCAGGTTGGAGGTCATTCCCCTTGTCGACGGGCGGGCGGCAGGCAACGCCCTTGCCGTTCCTTATTCCTGTCCCACCCTCTCCCTCAACCAGCCCAGCGCACCTGGCTGCTGAAACCCCACCATCCGCCTCAACCATCCCAGCCCACCTGGTTGCTGAAGCCGTCCTGAGCACATTCCCGGGCGCGGGCAGCAGTCTCAGCCACGAGAGTGCAGCGCTCGCGGTCGTCAGCTTGGAGGTCGTTCTCCTGGTCCTTGGGCGGGCGGCAGGCGATGCCCTTGCCGTTGATGGAGCGCACGTGGGCAAAGTACATCTCATCGGTACTCAGGTCTACTCCTCCCGTGCTGGGCTTGTCGGTGCGGTGCACGTATACCGCCTCTACCTGCACCAAGCAGTCACAAAGACAAAGCACGCGGCAATTTAGGCGAGTATTGAGGCGCCTGAGAAGATTCAGCTGCACTGCCAGCCTCAACCTGTTTTGAGGCGCCTCAAACAATCAGAGACACCATCGAGGTTGACCGGCGATGCCCTTGCCCTTGATGGAGCGCACGTGAGCAGGGTACATCTCGTCCGTACTCAGGTCTACTCCTCCCGTGCTCGGCTTGTCTGTCCGATGCACGTATACCGCCTCCACCTGCACCAAGCAGTCACGGAACAAAGGTACACCAAAGAGGATGGCAGGCAACGCCCTTGCTGTTAATGGAGCGCACGTGGGCGAAGTTCATCTCATCGGTACTCAGATCCACTCCTCCCGTGCTGGGTTCGTCTGTCCTGTGGACGTATACCGCCTCCACCTGTATTGAACGAGCGTGGAGCATGAAGGATGGCAGATTTCCTAACAAGTGTTTGAGGTGCCTGGGAGAACTAGGTAGATCGGCGCCTCGACCTGTTCTGAGGCGCATCAAAGGGTGGCAGGAAGCACCCCTGCCGTTGATGGAGCGCACGTGAGCAAAGTACATCTCATCAATACTCAGATCCACACACCCCATGATCAACCAACACCACCAGCATGCACCTTGCGCGGGTTGACAATCATCTTGCTTGCGGTGGCCATAGTAGTCCGTTGCACACCTTGGGATCATCCTACCACCACCACTCTCCACCACACTCCACCACTCTCCACCGCTACCACCACTGCCAACCCCACCAGCACGCACCTTGCGGGGGTTGACAATCATGTTGCGGTGCCCGTAGTAATCGATGCACACCTTGGGATCATCCTCTCCTCGCAGACCACCTTGGGATAATCCTACCACCACCACTCTCCACCGCTACCATAAACAGCAGCACCACACACCTTGCGGGGGTTGACGAACATCTTCCGGTGCCCGTAGTAGTCGATGCACACCTTGGGATCATCCTCTCCTCGCAGACAGTACGGCTTTTTCCGCCGCTGCAGCATTCTCTCCACAGCAAACCTCTTCTCCTCCTCGCTCCACACGTCCTCCGGCCCGTCCTCCTCGCATATGTGCGCCGAGAAGACATAGGTCCCGAGGGTGATGTACGGGAGGGATTCGAAGCGGTGGAGGATGGTTGGGAGGGTTGCGGGTGGTTGCAGGGCGAGGTACTCGTCGAGATCGTGGAAGGCCACCCAGTCGGCCTGTGTGCGCATGCGATACATGCAGTCATGCATCGCTACCGCCTGGGGGGGGGAGGAGGGAAGGGAGGAGGTGGAGAGCGTGGAGAGGTGAGGATGGGGGAGATGGAGGGCAGGGTTGACCGCGGAAGGCCACCCAGTCGGCCTGTGTGCGCATGCGATACATGCAGTCATGCATCGCTACCGCCTGGGAGGGGAGGGGGAAAGGGGTGAGGCGGAAAGGAGACAGGTACTTGAGGGGAGGGGAGAGCGGGGCGGGGAGGAAAGGGGAAAGGTACTTGGGCACCATCCACTCGTGGAAGGCCACCCAGTCGGCTTGTGTGCGCATGCGATACATGCAGTCATGCATCGCCACTGCCTGGGAGGGGGGGAAGGGAGAAGTGGGTGGTTCATGCCAGAATGTGTCTCATTGCACGCAGTACGGTACAGACAACTGCGCATACTGGAAGGGTTTTCTTTCTTTCTTCATTTCTCCTTCTTCTTTTCCTGAAAAGAGGCACACCTGTGACTAGCACGAGGCGCCGAATATCGGTAGGCCTGGGTGAAGTCGGAGACGGTGACCAGCCCCTCGTCCAGCATCTAGGGAGGGGGCACGGCGCACCTGCGAGTAGAACCAGGCGTCAAACTGATACGCCGGTCACAAGCCCCTCGTCCAACATCGGCTGTAGCATCGCCATGAGCAACCCAGCTTAGTCAAACTAGCCTTTACCGTACCTGCGAGTAGAACCAGGCGTCGAACTGATACGCCTGGGTGAAGTCTGACACGGTCACAAGCCCCTCATCCAGCATGGGCTGCAGCATCGCCATGAGCGACGGGGGCAGCCCGACGGTGTCGTAGAGCACAAAGTGGTCGTAGCCGCCTGCGTAGCGGTGGTAGTGGATGAACTGGAGCACACTTCGCTCCTCCACCTCCGCGTAGAGCGTGGAGCTGCAGAAGGCTACTCGCCAGGGCAGTGGGGTCTCTTCCCCTCCCTTCTTCTCGAGCTTCTGCGTTTGGTGGGAGGGCGAGGAGGGAGAGGGGGAGGGAGGGAGGAAGAGAGGGAGTAAGGGCAAGAAGAAGGGAGGGAAAGAGGCAGCCCGACGGTGCCATAGAGCACAAAAGTGGTCGTAGCCGCTCGCGTAGCGGTGGTAGTGGATGAACTGGAGCACACTGCGCTCCTCCACGTCTGCGTACAGCGTGGAGCTGCAGAAGGCTACTCGCCAGGGCAGTGGGCCCTCTGCTGCCTTGAGGCTCTGGGTTGGCGGGAGGGAAGCAGGAGGGATGGAGGGCGCATGGGCAAGAGGGAGGGATGGGGGCAGCCCGAGGGTGTCAATGCGCAGAGCTGCAGAAGGCAATGCGCCAGGGGAACGGGCCGTCAAGTCAAGAGAGGACAGGTGGGCTGCAAAGGCCTTACTTCCATCAATCTCGTGTTGTACTAGACCAACGAAACAAACTCAATGCGCAGAGCTGCAGAAGGCAAGGCGCCAGGGGAACGAGCCCTCGCTCTGTTCAGCGTCTGGGAGGGAGGGGATGGGAGGACTGACGGAGCGAGGGAGGGATGGGCGGGCGTAGCGGCGGTAGTGAGCGAGGGAGGGGGCGGCGGTAGTCACCACCTTGACTTCTGTTATCCGCCCTCACCTCCTTGACTTCTGTTCTCCGCCCTCACCTCCTTGACATTCTCGCGGTAAGGGTAGAGCATTTGGCGGTCGAGGTAGATCCTTATATGCCTTGGGCATTTCATGAAAGCGACAAGTGAAGGCAATGACTATTGAGGCGTGCTCACCTCCTTGACATGTTCCCGGTAAGGGTAGAGGATCTGGCGGTCGAGGTAGATCCTTAGATGCCCTCCCGTCTCCTCCACCTCTTCTTCCAACACGCACTGCAGCACCACCATCTCGTACTGCACACAGAATACCACACCACACCACACCACACCACACCACACCACATCACATCACACCACACCGCAACACACCTCCGCAGCATATTGCACCACACCGCACCACACGAAGAAACACAGACGCACAGACCAGTAGCAGCGCACAGCAGTCGCACGCACAGCAGCAGAACACACAGGAGGGACAAGCGTAACCATTCGGCAGTGACTTTTGAGTCGACTCAAAAGTCACCAGGAGGGACAAGCGGAACCATTCGGCAGCAAAGGCGTTCCATCATCACTCTGCCACCCGTCGATCAGGGGAGTGTCCGCCACAGAAGCGCTTCAGGCGAGCTGCAGTCTAGAGAGAATCTTTTAGCAAGAGATTGACAGTAGTAAAGCACACCCTGTTAAAAACCGACAGAAAAACGGATCCGAACTCTCATTCCACTAGCAAACACGTTTCGGTTGACTAGGACAGGCTCCAAGTCAAACCTTCATAGTCCCAACACCACCCTGTTTTGAGTCGACTCAAAATTAACCTTCATAGTCCACTCTGACTAGGACAGAACTCTGGCACCCGCCCGTCGATCAGAGGAGACTGAATCGATCGGTTAAGGACTATGGCAGGCGGCCTTACACGCAACGCAAATAGAATTTGGTTGAATAGATGGGAAAGGAGTTGGAAAGAGAAAGGATGGGATGGAGATGCAAACAGTACCAGGAAGTTGTGATGCTCCTCCATGACCATCTGAGTGAGCTTGCCGGCAATCACCATGTGCCCATCCATCTTGTGCCACCAACACCCTTTCCCGGACACCTGATTCCTAGCACCGTCCCCCCCACAACTCAACTCAACCCACCAAGAAGTTGTGATGCTCCTCCATGACCATCTGGGTGAGCTTGCCGGCAATCACAGAAACTGATGAGATTATTACTTGGTTGACTTGATAGCCTCATTTCTAGCACCCCCTGTTCACCCCACAACCCACCAGGTAGTTGTGATGCTCCTCCATGACCATCTGGGTGAGCTTGCCAGCAATCACAGTGTGCCCATCCATCTTGTGCCACCAGCACCCCTCCAACCGCCGCTTGCTGCGCTGCGCCAGCGCGCCCAGCCCAACCACCACGAAGCGTGCCGGTTCTAACCGGTACGCGCTGCTTAAAGGGGGGTGGGGGTGGGCGAGGGGAGAAGGGGCGAGAGGGGGGCGGGGTTTGTGATGCCTCGTAGGTCGCTTGCTGCGCTGAGCCAAAGCGCCCAGCCCCACCACCACGATGCGTGCCGGTTCCAACCGGTACGCGCTGCTTGCAAGGGAGCAAAAGCGGGTGGGGGGAGGGAGTGGGGGAGATAGGAGGTTCGAGAACCCAAATAGCCGCTTGCTGCGCTGAGCCAACTTCATAGCCCCCAGAGCCAGAGCCCCCAGAGCCAGAGCCCCCAGAGCCAGAGCCCCCAGAGCCAGAGCCCCCAGAGCCAGAGCCCCCAGAGCCAGAGCCCCCAGAGCCAGAGCCCCCAGAGCCAGAGCCCCCAGAGCCAGAGCCCCCAGAGCCAGAGCCCCCAGAGCCAGAGCCCCCAGAGCCAGAGCCCCGAGCCACAGCCCCCAGCCCCTTTTGAGTCGACTCAAAAGCCAGAGCCCCCAGCCCCACCACCACGGTACGCACTGCTTGCGGAAGGGTGATGAAGGGGGAAGAGGAAGGAGGGGAGGAGGAGGGGGGGGGGGGGGGGGGGGGGGGGGGGGGGGGGTTGGTTTAGAGGGGAGGGGTGAGGAAGGGGGTTTGATTTGAGACACCTCATAAGTCGCTTGCTGTGCTGAGCCAAAGCGCCCAGCCCCATCACCACGATGCATGCCGGTTCCAACCGGTACACACTGCTTGCATTGGAAGTTGGGGGATTGGGCGCTGGCGCTTTGAGGCACGTGGCGGAATCGTGGGACGCACCTGTACTGGATGAAGCCGTAGGCGCCGGTGCGATGGAAGGAGTGCTGGCGCCAGCGGGAGGGGTCATCATCCAGCACCACCATCTTGCCGCGAGGCCGCTTGGGGAGGTCCCCGGCTCCTGCTGCCACCTGCTCTGCTGCCTGTGTGTGCACGCATGTATGCATGTATGCATGTATGCATGTATGCAGCAAATGGAGGCAAATGCAGGGACGCTCAAGCAGGAGGGGTCATCGTCCATCCACCACCATCTTGCCACGAGGCCGCTTGGGGAGGGCCCCTGGATGGAGAGAGGGTGGAGGGAGGGGCGGGTGGAATGATCTTCAAAGCACACCCATGCCAGCGAGAGGGAGGGATCGTCGCCCAGCACCACCATCTTGCCGCGAGGCCGCCTTTTGAGAATTCTCAAAAATCGCCCCCGAGCCAAGGGCGCTTGGGGAGGGCCCCTGGATGGATGGAGTGGTCTCTATAAGTCCACCCACACACTGCACCCACCCACCTTGACACAGTACCCATCTGCACCGCACTGCACCCACCTTAAGAGCCACAATCTCAGCCGCCTGCTTCCTCATGCTAGCCGTGAGCCGCCCCACTGTCTCATTCAGCTGCGCCGCCCGCTGCTCCGCGTCCCGTGCGCGCGCCTCCAGCACCACCGCCCAGTCGCCGCCCACGTCCCCCGTCCCGTTGCCGCCCGCCTTGGCTCTGGCCTGCTGCAGCGCCTGCACGCTCTCCACCTGCCCGCCCAGCCGCCCCACCTCCTCCCGCACCACCCCCGTTACATTTTCGGCTGCGATCCGTGCCACATACTCTGGGGGGGAAAGTGGGGGGGGATGGGGGGCGGGGTGGGGGCAGGGAAGAGGGGGAAGAGGTAGGGATGTTGGTCAAAGGAGCCCGCCCAGCCACCCCACCTCCTCCCGCACTACTCCCGTGACGTTCTCTGCTGCGATCCGTGCCACGTACTCTGTGGGGAGAGAGAGAGGGAAGAGGTAGGGGGGCAAATGATGAGTCAACTCACTGGTCCCCTCCACCGGCCCGCCCAGCCACCCCACTTCCTCCCGCACCACCCCCGTTACATTTTCCGCTGCGATCCGTGCCACGTACTCTGGAGGGAAGGGGAGGGGGAAGAAGGGGGGCAATTGATGAGGCAGGGTGCTGAGTCAAAGGGGGGCCGCTCAGCTGCCGCCCCACCTCCCTCCCTCCCGCACCTCCCCTGTCACATTCTCCGCTGATATTCGCATGATGTGGTCTGTGAGAGGGGGTGGGGAAGCAGGGGGTACGTAGGAGTAGGGGGGGCTGAGGCAATGGGGAGGATGGAGGCAGGGGAAATAGGGGAAGGTAGAAGAATAAGGAGAGGCAGGAGAGAGAAGACTTTTGAGTCGACTCAAAAGGGAGGTGACATTTGAGTCGACTCAAAAGGGAGGTGACATTTGAGTCGACTCAAAAGGGAGGTGACATTTGAGTCGACTCAAAAGGGAGGTGACATTTGAGTCGACTCAAAAGGGAGGTGACATTTGAGTCGACTCAAAAGGGAGGTGACATTTGAGTCGACTCAAAAGGGAGGTGACATTTGAGTCGACTCAAAAGGGAGGTGACATTTGAGTCGACTCAAAAGGGAGGTGACATTTGAGTCGACTCAAAAGGGAGGTGACATTTGAGTCGACTCAAAAGGGAGGTGACATTTGAGTCGACTCAAAAGGGAGGTGACATTTGAGTCGACTCAAAAGGGAGGTGACATTTGAGTCGACTCAAAAGGGAGGTGACATTTGAGTCGACTCAAAAGGGAGGTGACATTTGAGTCGACTCAAAAGGGAGGTGACATTTGAGTCGACTCAAAAGGGAGGTGACATTTGAGTCGACTCAAAAGGGAGGTGACATTTGAGTCGACTCAAAAGGGAGGTGACATTTGAGTCGACTCAAAAGGGAGGTGACATTTGAGTCGACTCAAAAGGGAGGTGACATTTGAGTCGACTCAAAAGGGAGGTGACATTTGAGTCGACTCAAAAGGGAGGTGACATTTGAGTCGACTCAAAAGGGAGGTGACTTTTGAGTCGACTCAAAAGGAGAGGCAGGAGAGAGAAGGGAGTGGCATGGCAAGCTTTGGGCTCGGCTCTGGCGCGCTGGTGCAGCAACTGCACGCCCAGCCGCCCCGCCTCGCCTTTCCAGGTGACTTTTGAGTCGACTCAAAACTCGCTTTGGCCTCGGCTCTGGCGCGCTGCTGCAGCAACTGCACGCCCAGCCGCCCTGCCTCCCCCTCACCATGGCAGAGGGGTGGAGGCGAGAGGGAGAAGGCGAGGGGACGGCGGCAGAGGGGCGCAGGCGGGGGGCGGGAGGCGGGGGGGATTAAGAAAAGGACGGATTTGTGGAAGATAGGCAGGACTCAGGAGAGAGGGGGGGGAAAAGGGGGAATGATGCGATGGGGGGGAGAAAGGGGAGATGGAAGAAGCAAAGAGGAGGGATCGAATGGAAGGGATGTACATGGGTGGGTGTGAGCCGACGGGAGGAGATTAGCAAGAATGGGAAGCATGGAGGGAGGGGGGAGCATAGAGGGACGACGAGGGAGCATGGGGAGTGGAATTATGGGGGGAAGGGAACGGCGAACGGACCTTCAATCGCCTTGAGACGTATGTCAAGATCAGCTGATGGCTTCCTTCCCTCCCACACGTGTTGCTGCCACGTCACACGCCACGTCACATGACACCCGTCATATGTCATGCCACGTCAGCCGCACCGTGTCATGCCAAGCGATGGGCAAAGGTAAGGATGTGGGTGTTGCCAAAGACGTCTAGTTTCAGGCATGCGAGCAGAAATGCAGAGCATTTTGATGCGCCTCAATGTATGTGAAGTGAAGTGGGAGGATTTTCTGCTCCATGGGCTTCTATTCCACTTTTGAGGTGCCTCAAAAGTCGCCTCAAAGTTTTTGAGGTGCCTTAAAAGACATGCAGAGCATTTTGATGCGCCTCAATGTATGTGAAGTGGGAGGATTTCGGCACTTCAAAAAACCGTCTCAGAACATAGGATCAGAACATGGTGCATGGCGCACCTGGTGCATGAGGACAAGAGAGAGAACGGCGGTGATGAGACAGCCTGTCGATATGCCCTGCCACGTGGCAACAGCATGGGGCAAAACGGCACGGGTGGATCCAACGATGCGAGTCGCTGCTGCACATATCAAATAAACATTGTATGCAATTCTGAGGATGACTGCGGCGGTAGGTCACCAAGGTCTGCCGTAATCTAGGGGTATTTCGGTGTCGGCGGTTGAGACGAAAGGAGGACCAATAAGGGGCTGCAAGCTGACCAAAAAAAAAAAAAAAAAAGTGTTTCGCTGTCACACCACGCAAGAGCAACAAGAGCGGCCATAGTCAAGGAGCTGCAAGCTGTCAATCCTCGCTTCCCCCCCAACCCAACCCAACCTTTCCTGACCTCCTTCCCCTCCACCCTCCTCCTTCCCCTTTCTCCCCCAGATGTGAATTTTGTGCACTCTGAGTCATTTTTTAGGCAATTGGATAGTCATTCCCCCACCCACCCCACCCCACCCCCCCCCCCCCCCCCCCCCCCATTCCCCCCACCTCCCCCCCCCTTCCCCTCTTTCCTTCCCGGCCTCTCTCCCCCTCCCCCTCCCCTTCCCCCCCGCCCCTATTTCCGCTCAAGTGTGTGTTTTTGCGCCCTCAGAGCCGGATTGCGCGTCCGCACGGAGATGCCGCTTTTCAGAATTCTCAAACATCGGCACGGAGCTGCCGACGCGGGGTTAACACGAGGCGCGACAACTTGATAGGTTCACAAGGGGATGGATTTTTAGTCGAGTCGACAATCGAGGCTGGGGAGGCTCACAATCGCCGCCAGCTGTCGCCTGCGCTTCGCAATGATCACTCTCCCCGGGAGAAGTCGGAGTGCGCATCCGCGCGCAGCTACCGAAGCAGGGGCAACACAACAACCTTAAAAGGTTCACAATGGACTTCTAGTAAGTCGACTACTAAGGGGGCTCAGGAGGCTCACAATCGCCAGCTGTCGAGTGCGCTTCGCCATGACTATCATCCCCACGCCGCTGGCTGCCCACTGACGGATGTCGCCCTGCCCCTTCATCAACGGATGATGCTCTCTGCCGGCCGTCATTCACTTGCCGGCCGTCGTTAACGACTTGCCGGCCGTCGTTAACGACTTGCCGGCCGTCGTTCACTACTAATCGCGCGAGCAGCGCAGCTTCAGAAGAGCGAGCCACGAGAGCAGCACGGCGGGTGCGAGGGAAAGCGCTGCGGTGCAAGGAACAATAGCGCGACTCGGAGGCGGTGCAAGGAACAAATACGAGTCGACTAAAAACGCCGCGAGAGCAGCCCGGCGGTGCGAGGGAAAACGCCGCAGCGCAAGGAACAAAAGAGCGACTCGGAGACGGCGTCTAGAAAGAAAAGGTGTTGGCGGCGACACCAATTTCTGAGACCCTGAGTGATAAGTACTATCGCACTTCTATTTTTTAGGTCAATTTCTAGAATTCTCGAAAACGACTTTCAAACGCAAGTTGGCAGTGCCACCTCGGAAGTGCACTGCACAGGACTTCGAAATGCGAATTGCTGGCTCCATGTGGTGCTGAGAGAGTTTTATCCATACTAAATGGCTATAACGCGGATGTTGACCAACGTCGTCTGCACTGAGAGGTGGTTGGGAATTCGGAATGAACTGAACTGATGCCGGCGGTGGGTTCAAGGACACTCTGGGACGTTCGCTGACGACGATACGACTTCTGCTACAGTGCTTCAGGTCCTAAATTTTCGATCTCAACTCAACCCAATGCCATCGACGTGATGAAGTCAAAGCTGTGATTGAACCTCAAGCTTCCACCCATCCACCACACCACACCACACTGCATTCGCTGGCGACAGCGGTACCCTTCGTCCATACGTACGGTAGTCGTTGAACAGTGCGATGCAAACCCTATTATATACACACGGGTGACGTCATCACATGCCGCCCCGCCCGCCCTGGCACAGAGGGAATTGAGGCAAAACGAAAAACCCGCGGAATCCCTCCGGGCCCCCAGAAATTCCCGGCAGACCAGGCCAAAAAACCCTCCGAAACCCGCGGGTTCAATGTCGTATTCTTATTCTCATATATATGTCGGCCGAACTGTTGCAATTTCGGGCACATTTGTCGAACAGTGCTCGACGGACATTGGCCAATCGCCGTCGAGCACCGTGCACCCCCGACAACGCTTTTTACACCCGGTGGCATGTCGCCCACACGGTGGCGCTGACGGTCGACGGTTGCGAAATACCGACTGTCGCAATCGACGGAGACGTCAACTGCGGCCGACCTGTCGCCTCGTCGGTCGAGCGAACTGTCGCTGTCGGATGGGCGACGGGTTACGTCTGTCGCAGTCAAACGTTCACGTCAACTGCCGACTGCCACGTCAAATGTCTCAGTCTCCACGGGGAGCAACATCAGCCCAAGGTCACTGTATAAACCTGAATTCATAGTAGAAGCACCACACTTTCCTCAGCAGGCCAGGATTTAGGGAGAAGTGCTAGCTTTCGGTGGGCACTGATGGAGACCGATCCGTCGACGACAGCGCCTTCCCGGCAGGCGGACGTAGGACGGATACCTGTCGAATTGGAGTCCATCTCGACACCACCCCCTTCGTCGTCTGGAGCCACGCCGGTTTCTTCCGCGCCCCCTTCGACGATGCGTGCCATACCGGAGGTGGCAGCGCCCACCTCGACGTCGCGAGCCATACCGGTAGTATTACAGCCGGTTGTTACGGACCAGCGTTCGACGGCCCCTTCGACGACGCGTGCCATACCGGAGGTGGCAGCGCCCACCTCGACGTCGCGAGCCATACCGGTAGTAATACAGCCGGTTGTTACGGACCAGCGTTCGACGGGTATTCCGGTCACTGTTGAAGTGGGTGGTGCACTGACCGAATTCCCTTCGACAGGTCAATCCATACCTGTTGTCGTAGAACCCATCTCGACAACAAATGCCCCCTTTACACACGAGGCTCCTGCTCACCGTGCACCATCGTCGACAGCCCACCGCTCGACGGAACCTTCAGCTGGTGCACCTACCTCGACAGGTGGGCGACGTAGGAGAGCGAGGGTTGTTCCGCCTGAGGTTCGCCAACCACCCCCTGCCGGCACATCCGCTTCTCGAGCCGGCCCCGCCGCTCCTAGGCGCACTTCGACGAGACAAAGCAGAGAGGACTTAGCCAGGAACGTCCCTGAAGCGACGGACGATGACGATGTTCAAACGGGAGAACAGCAGGAGGCGGACGATGTCGAACCGCCAGACCCTCTGCGGCCTGCTGCGGAAAATATCTCAGAGGAGGATGCCGCGCACATTCTCGGCGACCAACCGGGCGCAGACAATCCGTACTTGGCGACCGGAACACTTAAAATCAGGATTCTCCGGTGTGAGGTTCCGCTGCTGGGAGTTGACCAGGATTCCACATGGCCGAACTATGTCTCTGGAAGCATGCACTACAAAGCTTGGGCCTGTAAAATTCTGGCACCCGAGGGAAGCAACGGAGTGCCTAAAGAGGAGCAGGTGATCTACGAGGACGAGATCGGTAGGGAGATCGGCGACGATATGGGGCCGAGATGGAGGGAGGCGCTGCGTAACGAGGAGAACCTGCATGGGCCGAAAATAACGAAGTAGCGCTTGCGCGCGTACGTCGAATACATGTCGGCTGAAACCGACCAACAAGCGGCTTCGTTGGATACTGGCCGGACCAGAGTCGCTGGAAGGAAGGCGAAAAAAAGCACCCCTCCGATGATGCTGGCGCGCCTTACTGCGCTGACGTGCTTCTGCAGAGTAGAGGCCATACTCTTCGACGAGCCACTAACGAAACCCTTGGACGACATCACCGAGGCCCGGCAGCTTCTTGCGGTCAAGCTGCGGCAGCTGCACGACTTTCAGTTCGAGTAAGTAGGCTGCCATACACCGGACTCTAAAACTTTTCACTCAAATTCTCACCCAACTACTCGCTGTATCTGCCCACTCAATGCAGGCAGTGCGTCGATCCACACCGGGGCTCGCTCGACGATGTTTACACGGAGGAGCAGTTCCGCATTCTCGTTTCAGACATCCTGCCGTACTGGGCCAAGGAGTACTTTCGGGAGTCGATGAGTTACCCCAGTCAGTCGCTGTGGAGGGCCTTGGCCGTGAGGGTGATGATCCTGATGGCGCATCACATGCTGGGCAGGGGGATAAGCATCCGCGAGATCCGCTACTGCAATATGTTCACTCACGTCCTTCCGCCCATCACGAACAGCAAGGGGGAATCGTCTATCCACGTTCTCGTGGTCGCCTATCGCAACTCGAAGACCATCAAAGACAACAAGCTCGGCCACCTGTACCTGACTCGACACATGTACTTCCGGCAGTGCGGCTTCGGAGCAGTGTTCATGTGGATACATTTCATTTTCGACCTTGTGCCGTTCTACTACAACAACGATAAGATCGTGCCCCCCTTGGATTTCAGCAACCCGGAAAATTGGTCAAAGAAGCACCTGTTCTTCGCCCTCTTCGACAAAGACAAGACCGAGTTGCCGTACGCGACTCATGCCAAATGGGTTACCTGGGCGATGAAAAGCGCGGAGTGGATCCTGTCGAAAGTCACACATATCTTTCGACGGTCTGCGGCACAGATCCTCGCCGACAAAAACTGTGAACTCGACAACATCGCGCAGCTGGGTCAATGGGACATGAACGAGATGCGCAGGTCATACGTCACAGGCATCCCGCGCGGGGCCATCCAGCTGCAAGCGGGTTTCACGACGGAACCGGGTGACTATTACCTTGGAAGATCGAAGAGCGAAGTACCCGCGAAGGTCCTGAAGGCTATCGAGGAGCACATATTTCCAGAGGCGGAGCAGTGGCTCGACGAGGTATGGATGCGTCGAGCGCTTAGCGTGATCATCGAATGCAAGTTTTGCCCATCTATCTTTCAATGTCACCACGTTTGTTCTTGTTCACGCGATGGAATGGAACAACGAGCAGGACAAGGAGCATATGTTCTTCGCAGCGAAAAGTTTCTTGAAGGCCCTGCAAGCCGTCCGAATGCCCATCGCCGAGGATCTTGCGATGTACTACGTCCATTGTGACGACCACCCCTTCGACGGAGTGACAGTTTGCGACTGCGAGCGTCACCCTTATGTACAGATGTCCGGTTTGTGCAAGGACATGGATTTCCAAAAATGGGCGCTTGACGTGTACCTGCTCGACAAATACGGCATTGAGATGCGGACCAACCCCACGCTGTCGAAAGCTTCGGTAAGATGGCCCTTCTAATTTTTAATCCGAACAGATTGCATCAGCCCACTTACCTACCGCTCGTGATCTTGTGCGCAGGACGCATCCTTTCAACTCAACACCAAGCACCTCATCACGCAACTTCGGGCAGAGGTCAACTTACACAAGGAGGAGGGTGGGAAAAAAGAAATCAAGATCAAGGGCCTCGAGCAGAAGGTCGAGTCATTGGAGCGGGAGAAGGGCGCGATGCAAGCGGAGTTGGAGGCGAAGGCAGAAGCACTCGCGCTACTGCAGAAAGCGTTCGACGCACTGAAGATTACCGCCGCGACAACCGCAGCTGCGAGTGTGGGGGGGAGCGAGAGTGTGCCGCAGACGGCGACCGAAGAAACCACCCCGCCACCACAGCAACCCCCTCAATCAACGCCCACTCAACAGAGCAAGGGCAGCCAGCTCGACCAAGCATTCTTCGACGCAGTGGTGTGGCCGTGGTGCAATTGCGAGACCGTGCGGCAGGCGTGGTCGTACTGGGACGGGCCAAGCCCGCTGAACAACGGACACAGTCTTTGACACGCTTACAGGAGGGGTTTCGCCGTCAAGTTCAGCAAGTTCACTCCGACTCCTCCCACCGTTCCCCAGGTTGCGGTGGACCAGCCAAAAGAAAAGCCACCGACCCCAAAAGCTGTCGAGTCGAAATTGCGGAAGATGGAGGTTGTCATGAGGACCGTCGAGATATTCAGGGTCGACGACAGCAGCGCGGCTACGTCGACGATCATTGATAAGCTTGACTCAATAGTCGCGAACCACTCGATCAACATGCTGGCTGAAGGGCTCGTTCTCAAAGAGGATTCGGGGAAGCAGCTCACGAAGAAGCGCAAAGTCGAGACAGCAGAAGACAACCGGAAGGACAAAGATCGCCTCAGGATCACGCGGGAGCTCATTCGCGTCGAGCTTCGAACCACGAAATGGGCCGAGAACGTGCTCAAAGACAAATGGAAAGAGTTCATGAAAACATTGGGCGAGAGCCCAAGTTCGACAGGCAATCCTGATGAGGGGGGAAAGTAGAGTAGGGTGTTCTTTCAGAGATTGCATGGCAGATTCTCATTACTGACCGACCATCTTGCCTGTATGAACCTTCTGAGAATTATCGCACACGGAAAGTCAAGATTCATGCAACATGTACATGCTGTCGATTAAACTCTGGAAACAACTAACACAACTGTCGAGAATGGCAAACACCCCCACGCAAAGTGCCCGCCTAGACTACTCCCCTTGCCCGCTAGTTTCCGTCTCAGCTGCATCCTCGACGCCCTGCTTCGCCTTGCTCTTTTCTTCTGGCATAGCCAGGCTGCCATAGCCCGCGTCCTCCAGCAAGCGGGCAGCAGCTCGACAGCAGCACCATTGCGTACAGACCTGTGCTGCCACGCGCAGCATCTGCAGCAATATGGCGTCCGTCGAGCCGAGACCTTCGACAGCCGACGAATACAGGTGATCGGGCCACTGCTTCGCAGGGAACGTCTTGCCGACGTGCAAAAGTATGGACACGAGTGCGGACATGGCAGCCACACAAGCCTTCTTTGCAGTCTCCGGGGCGTAGATCGCCCCGTTTGCGGCAGCTAGGGCGTCCTTCTTAATATCCTCCCTCGACAACTTCCTGCAGGCCGCCCACAAGCTCGCCACAGTTGCTGCGATGGCCATCATGTGCGGTGTCGCCGCCATGCCCTTCGGGACCGGGTAAATCAGATTCCCGTGCTTCAGGCCAAGCGTCGCGACCTTACCAATCGCCACGCACAGCGCGATTCCCCTCTCGGTTCCAGCTTTCGCTTCCTTTTTTGTCGTCGCCAACAGCGACAGGTAACTGCACATCGCAAGAAATGCGTTAGTCAAGAGGCCAGAATTCGACCGACAGCACATTCACCGCAAAACAGCTAGTGTTCGACAAATCACCAAAACAGCAGGAATTCAACAGCAAAGTCTAGCAACATGACTTCGACAGGACTTACTCGTCAAAACGGCATTCCCCTTGTTCTTGCGCCACGCTCCAAACGCCGGTTGGCATTTCTGCGGCCGCATCAAGGTAGACCTTCCAGTCCTCCTCATCCTGCGCCGTGTACCCTTCGTACTCCGTAAGGACAACGTCGGGGAAGTACACGCGCCAGCAGACGGCCGTACAGAACTTCTGGTCCTTCTCTGTTTGAAATGTGCCAAGGAACCGCTTCCTCCCGCCGACGGTCTGCTCGGAAACCAGCTTCCCCTTCCGCAACCCGAAACTCGGTCCTTTGAAGGGACGTTTGCAGCCTCTCGTCTTGCCTTGGTCGTCCGGTCGAGGAGGTGGGGTGTGACCCGTGACCCTGGCCTTCTTCGCCTTTTCCTGTCGAGCAGCAACGACAATAGAGGTCTTCTCGACAGGCGCCTGACCAGGGACGCTGGACAGCTCCACCACGTCAAGGCTCTCTGTCGCGTGTGCAGCGCGCTTCGACGACTTCGTCGCAGCCGGCTTCTTCTTCGACTTTGAAGGGGAGCCCGGATCGCTAAGGCAAATGTTGCCTAGGGACGGAGCAGCGGCGAAAGGAGCAACTGGAGGGGTTGAGGAAGACGCCCAATTTCCCACAAGCCCGGCAGCATGGCCAGCACCACCGCCGTGCGCAGCTGATGCCGCTTTAGGCTTCGACAGCAACCCAACGCTTGCTTCTCCCGCTCCTTTCCCTGCACCGCCGCCTGACGGGGTAGAGGCACCTCGCATTCCTAGGGCTCTGTTCCCGGTCGAGGCGACGTGCTCGTTCGGGGCACCACTTTTCTCCCCCGCGACCACTCCTTTCCCACCCGTTTTCCCCAGGTCTTGCAGCATGTCCCGCATCGAAGCAAACGCATCAGGTTGATCGATCGGAGCCGCTACGGAGGTCTTCGGGAGGGCTGACTGGTCGAGTACGATGACTTCGGGGACGGGCTTGGCGACGGGATGACGGCCACGCGCCGGTGGGGATCCAACCGGGCTGCCGACATGTCCTCCCACCGAAGAAGACGGAGGAACCGACCGCTCGTGACCTCGAGGCTCAGCCCCGCTGCGAACCCCTCCCACACCCTCCTGACGCGACCTCGTCGACAGGCCCGCCGAGCGCTGAAAACCTCTCGCCATCGCTTCGGTGAGGACTTCCAACCTCCCTGCTTCGGCTTCTTGGTATCCTTCCCTCACAATGTCCTTCAACTCCTTCATGGTCTCGGGTGGGAGAGTGGAGCAAAACATGTCCTCCATGATGGCTTTCTCGAAACCCTTCAGCACCGCAGCAACCAGCCGCTCCTCGACCTGCTTGAGCTGCTTCTCGACGGCGTCCTCGCTCGCTTTTGTGATGGCGGCTACCACCCCCTCGATGATCTTCCCGCTCATCTCGTCGATCTTCGCCCGCGCCCCTTCCAACAGGTTCCTCTCCGCCGTGACACCCTTCACAGCCTCGGCACACTGCGACAGTGTGCTCTTCGACGACTCCGAAATCGTATTCCACGCCGTCCGAAAATCCGCCGCAAGCCTGTTGAATACTCCGGCTTGCTCAGTGTGTTTCGCAAATACATCGGCGACGAGCTGCTTCTGCGACGCCTCGACCTTCTCGACCCTCTGCAGTAGCTCGACGACCTGGCCTCCGGGTGCAACGTTCGCCGTCGATTGGCCTGCCGTCGAAGGCCACCCGGTCGAAGGGCCCGCCTGTCCGCTGCCACTGGCCGTGCGGTGACTCCTTGTTACGGCGGCCTGTCGCTCATCTCCTCAACGATACTCCTCAATAGCCTCCCCGACCTCCTGCTCCTGCCCTCCCGACCCACTCACCCGCGCAGCCGCAACCCTAAACTCTTGCTGCTGCACTCCTGCCCCACCCACCTGCGCAGCCGCCACACCCTCCTGCTGCTGCCCTCCTGCCCCGCCCTCCTGCGCAGCCACCTCGCCCACCACCTGCTGCTGCCCTCCGACCCCACCCTCCTGCGCAGCCGCTCCGCCCTCCTGCTCCTCGACAGTCTTTGTTTCCCCTGTCGCCTGCTGCTCGATAAGCTCTACTCGCTCGTCCACCCGCTCCCCGAGCGCCACTCCGTGCTCCCCCATACGCTCCGTTCGATGTCCGGCGCCCTCGCCGTCGTCCTCGACCGACTCATCGCTCGAGCTCGAGCCGGGGCTCGATTCCGAGCTCGAGTCCTCGTCCTGGTTCGCATCGCCGCCCGGGCCGCTCGCCCCGTGCTGAGCCTGCCTCGATGTATCCTCCTCGATCTCCTCCTCCTCCTCCTCGACGCTGTACTCCATCACGACGCGTCCCGTCTTCTCGCCTCCTCCCTCGTGGTCGGCACCCCCTCCCACACTTGCTCCCTCCGCCAGCTGGTCGATCTTTCTCGAAATCAGCTTGACCATGAACAACGGAAGCACACCCGGGCCAGGGTTCGTTCTCCCTAGATGCACGAGTTCGCCCTTTCGAGGCTGTAGGATGAAGTCGTCCCATTTCGACAGAATCCGGCGCACCCCATGCACGACACGAGCTGCCGCGCCGTTTTGATAGGGGCTCGACAAGGCCGTCGTCGTCTGCGACGGGTACAAAACATACGTAAGCGACAAAACACTTGCTCGGCGAAAACGCTGTTGGTCTAAGGAGAGCTTACCAGATGGTCGAAATCCTCGTTCAACTCCAGACGAAGGTCCATCACCTTCAACACTTCTTGGTCGTCCTCGGTCAGAGCCTGGTGGGTCATCGCGTACTCGGCGCGAAGCTGCTTCTTCATCCACCTGCGACGCAGAGGACAGAAGAGTAAGATTGTCGAGAACAGCAGCTCGACAGCAGGGTTGCAAAGCTGTCACTCACACGAAAACTTCTTGCGCCAGAGAAGATTGGTGGTTCATATCGGGAAACTTGTCTTTCGAATCGAAGTGCATCATTCGAGTTCGACTGCCACGGTGCCTCGGAGCCAGCAGATCATCGGGGCGCGATACCACAAACAGGCTCGAGTGGGAGAACGGAGGCACACTCAGTATGCATGCACAGCCAATGCACGTGAGAACGGGTTCAGGGCTAAAGACGGAGCACGCAAGGCGACGGGAGAGTGTCGAACTCACGGTGTCCGCAGCAGAACGAAACCACTTGCTTGCCGAGGAGGCCGTCGAGGTGGTTGTTCGCAAAAGCGACCGGGGTGGGACGGGCCATCTCTTCACGCGCACGCGCCGGAGTCACGATCGACACCTTGGGGAGCTGCTCGACGGAGAGCAGTTCATGACAGAACAGGCTGCACGGAAAGCTAAGTCAACGTCAGCGATTGGTAAACCGAAACATGGCAAACCGAAAATGTTCGACAGGACACGTACACGACGCCCGCGACCATCATGCTCTCGTCGAGCTCCCCTTTCGGCGCCTCTCTAATCGCATTCAGCTGGTCCTCGAACACCTCCACCTCGACCCCGCCTGCACTAAGGATGAGGCCGCGTCGAACCGTGGCCTCGTTCATGACGGGTACGGAGGCGGGGCCCGTAGCCATGTCTGTTCTAGCAGTGGAGAGGGCGGACGCGCAGGGGAGTTGGGAACTAGCAGGGACTAGGAAGTAGGGAAGCAAAAATCGGAAATAGCAACAAAATGAGACCGGACGCAGGGTATTAGCTGTTTGCCATCCCTCCCACCGCGACGGACCAGGGGGGTTCAAGGGCGAGGAGGCAGGGCGCGTTCCGAGACGTGGGAGGAGGAGGGAGGCCGGCGGGGCCCCATTGGCCTCGACGTGAAACCTGGTCGTTGGGGTGGGCAGCCTTGCATGCAGCTGAAAGGCCCCTTCCAAGGTTCGGGAGGGGGCCTTCGACACGTCGCCAAGATCGAGCGGCTTGAACGAAACGGGCCCGTCTAGGGCGAGAGTGGTGGAGCGCGGCGCAGATGGGCGTCGCTTTCGTCTGGCCGGCGAAATTTCGCGGACTGGTTCCGTCGGCGAGGCGTCGCTCGGCGAGGGACGGGTGGGTTACCTGACGGAACCCGTCGACGAACTGAGCGGGGGGTTGGGCTCGGTTGGGGGGTTTGGGCTCGGTTTGGGAGGGGGACCACTGCCAGCTCGAGGGCGCGGGCTGCTGGCGTCATCGGCAGCTGGCGCCAGCTGGGGGTGCCCGTTTTCGGGTGGGAGGGGGGGGGTGGCTCCCGTCCCGCCCCTCGCGTGCTTCGCTAGGCGACGGCGGGAAAACGAAAATCCCTCCGAGGAAAACCCGCAGGGGCGAACGGGTTTCCGCGGAGGGATTCGGGCGAGGTCTTCCCGCATATAAACAAGCAAGGAATGCAAATGGTTTGCCGCGAAGGACGGAAACCACCGCGTCGCGAATCGCGATGATGTTCGCTCCTAAATCAAATATTCACTGACACGTGCAGCGAAGTTACACTCCAATCTCTACAGCCTCACCAGTGTTACATTGTTAGGGACATTTTTTCGCCAGACAGTGTCAAAATGCAACTACTGTAGACTGATGTTGTTACCAAACGATGCCTGAATCTTACAGTAATTTTTCACCATCACATGTATCTCATGCCCGAATCTTCTTTGAACCTAGGATCCCATAGTTATAAGCATAAGTGACACGGCCACAACAATATTCCCCTTGTCGAAAATTGCCTGCCCTCCATCCCTGTGGTCCCCCAATCCACACCTCTCGTGTGATGCGAAGCATGCAACACCTCGCCCGGCACTGTATAAGAAAAGTTACCATCAAACGAGGTACACCATCACCCACGTGTGTACATAGGGTACATACATCACCATCATCACTCCGCTAATACCGCCCCCCTCCACCACCACCACCACCACCACCACCACCCCGACTGCTATACCCACCCCCTCCCCCTCCCCCACCACCACCCCCTTGATACCCATGATGCTCCTGTTGCCTGTAAGCCCCTCCCCCTCCTTTCGACGACCTTGGAGGTGCTTCCTCCTCCTCATACTCATCGTACCCTCCCCTCCCTCCTCCACCTCCCCCACCCCCTCCTCTCCCCCCGTCCCTGCCATAATCCCTACCCCTATCGTCATACCCATCATCCCGCCCGTAATCCCCTCCCCCTCTCCCCCCACCCCCTCCCTGTCCCCCATGTGCTGCCCTGCTGCCAGAGCCGTGGGAGTGGCTGTCGTGCGGGTCCCCCCCTCCAGATGCGGCTGGGGCGTCTGTGAAGGAGGGGGGTTGGAGGGGGAGAGAAGGTGATTGCACTGCTGCCAGAGCTGCGAGAGTGGCTGTGGTGAGGGTCCCCGCCACCCGATGCAGCTGGGGTGCATGTATGTGTGTGAGCGGGAGGGGGTAAACAGGGAAACGTTCGCAACGTCTCCTTCTGTCGACATTGGGTATTTTCAAGGTGAAAGTTGTGAGTCGAGGGTTAAGAGTCGAGTGTTTGTGATTTACGGTTGTGTTACCTGCAAAGAGCGAGTTGAGGCCTGGCTTCTTGCCCTTGCTCTTCTTCTTCAGCTCCAGCGCCCCACCTGCAATAAAACACGCGACCCCGACACATAACAGGAACAATAACACGGCCATACAGAGAGAGACATTTTTTAGGCGCCTCAGACATTGAGGCCTGGCTTCTTGCCCTTGCTCTTCTTCAGCTCCACCGCCCCACCTGCCGTGGAACCCACATCCCCGACCCGACGCATCGTACACGGCCGGACAGAGAGAGGAAAACAGAACAGCATGGTGAGTCGGTGTTTCAGGCAAGTTCGAAATTTTGAATTAACCATTGACTTATCTTCACACCGAATGGCTCACCCTGAAAGGAGATTGGTGATCGACAAGATAGGAGGACCAGGCCGGGCAAAAAGTTGGAAGAGGCTCGGACGGATGCATCACAACATACCGAGAGGGGAATGTGTCTCCTGCACGATCTCCATGTTGCGGTAGGTGTAGCCGACGAAATTGATGTCCTTGGATGGCAGCATCTGAGGTTGGGAGAGAACGTAGGGAGGAGTGGAGAGAAGGGGTGCGACAAGGAGTGGGCATGTCGCATGCACGATATACATGCTGTGGTAGGCGTAGCTAAGATAGTCAACGTCCTTTCTTGGATGGCAGCAGCATCTGGGTCTCATCCACTGCTGGGCGGCCTCTTGAGCTGTGAGGCTGTGTGACTCTGTGTGACTGTGTGTGACTCTGTGTGACTCTGTGTGACTGTGTGTGACTCTGTGTGACTCTGTGTGACTGTGTGTGACTGTGTGTGACTCTGTGTGACTGTGTGTGACTGTGTGTGACTCTGTGTGACTGTGTGTGACTCTGTGTGACTGTGTGTGACTCTGTGTGACTCTGTGTGACTCTGTGTGACTCTGTGTGACTCTGTGTGACTCTGTGTGACTCTGTGTGACTGTGTGTGACTGTGTGTGACTGTGTGTGACTCTGTGTGACTCTGTGTGACTGTGTGTGACTCTGTGTGACTCTGTGTGACTCTGTGTGACTCTGTGTGACTGTGTGTGACTGTGTGTGACTCTGTGTGACTCTGTGTGACTCTGTGTGACTCTGTGTGACTCTGTGTGACTCTGTGTGACTCTGTGTGACTCTGTGTGACTCTGTGTGACTCTGTGTGACTCTGTGTGACTCTGTGTGACTCTGTGTGACTCTGTGTGACTCTGTGTGACTGTGTGTGACTCTGTGTGACTCTGTGTGACTGTTTGTGACTCTGTGTGACTCTGTGTGACTCTGTGTGATTCTGTGTGACTCTGTGTGACTGTGTGACTCGTGTATCTCTCAGAACCCAACATCCAAGGACAAACGCATGCATGCATCTGATGCTCACTCACCCTCTTCCATGGGGGCCTGAATTCTGCGCTCCACTGGCCTCAGGGGCCTTTGACCTGGTTTGCTTCTTGAGCTGTGAGGCTGTGACACGTGTACCTCTCAACATCTAACAACTGGGATGCACCTGATGGATGCTCACTCACCTTCTTCCAGGGGCCTGCCTTCTGCGCTCCACTGGCCTCAACGACCTGCAGGGGTGACTGCTGGGTCGCCTCTTGAGCTGTGTATGTGGGATATGTGTACCTCCCAAAGCTCTCTAACGTGGGATGCATTTCACTAGACTCACCTTCTTCCAGGGTCCTGCCTTCTGCGCTCCACTGGCCTCAACGACCTGCAGGGGTGAGGACGCAGAGTGGAAAACGGGAAGAGGGGGAGAGAGGAAAAGAGAAAGAGGGTAGGAGTGAATGAGGGGAAGAGAGAAAAGAGGTTAAGAGAGAACAAGAGGAAGAGAGAAAGAGGGGAAGAGAGAATTAGGGGAAGAGAAAAAGGATGTGTGGACAATGAAATAGGCATGGTGTGGTGGATTGCTGAATTGCAGTGAAAATTGGAGAGGATTACATAGAAATGAAAAAAAAGGGGGGGGGGGAAGGGGGGAGGCGGGGGAGTGTGAACATATCATGCCATGCCATGCA